ATTACTGTTTTCGCGGTAAAGTGTTGAACCTGGGACGCAGACTGTGGTGGGGAGCGGGTGTAGTGTATTGATGCAAAGGACGCTTCTAAACTCGAGGAATGACAGGCTCCGCACTGGTGGACTGGTTGTTTCAACGGAACCTGCCACCCCTCCTGTTCGGGACTCTGTGTGTGGGGGCTATGTGACTTTGTGGCAGGGGGAGGACGGTTACAGATCCCCTGCTGCGTGGCTCTGTGATCCAGGATAAGGACCGCTGCATAAGATCTCTAACCGCCCTCCCCCGCCACAAAGTCACATAGCCCCCCCCCCACACAGAACATGAAAACCACCTCCCAGACTGACCAGGGTAACTAGTGACTGCAATGTGTGTGTGCCCTGCTGCTGAACCTGCCCCCGCGTCTGTACCCTGGTAAAGGTGACTGTCCTGTCCAATTACCAACCCCCTTCCCCCCCTTCAAACAGACTCTCCTCTAAAAGAACATGATGGAAACAGTAATTAACAGAAACGTACTTTTTATTAGCAACTACACATGAAACTGCGGGATGAAACTGGGACGGGGGCTTGGGTGAGGCGGGAAGGAAAGGACTTATCAAATTTTGGGGAATGAGAGCCTTCTGGTACTTGAGCAGTCTGCAGGGGTGGAGTGAGAGTTTTCACGGACTCTGCCGCCCCTCCTTCTTGGGACTTTGGGTGAGGGGGGTATGGGACTTTGTGGCGGGGGAGGGCGGTTAGAGATCGACTGCAGCGGGGCTCTGTCCTCCTGCCTCCGGTCCTGCAGAACATCCACAAGGCGCCGGAGCGTGTCCTTTTGCTCCCTCATTAGTCCAAGCAGCGTTTGAGTCGCCTGCTGGTCTTCCTGCCGCCACCTCTCCTCCCGTTCAATGTGTGATCGGTGGATTTGGGACAAGTTCTCCCTCCACTGGGTCTGCTGGGCTGCCTGGGCTCGGGAGCAGCCCATAAGTTCCGAGAACATGTCCTCCCGTGTTCTCTTCTTCCTACGCCTAATCTGCGCTAGCCTCTGGGAGTGTGATGCCAGGCTAGGTCGGGAGACAGTCGCAGCTGTGGGATGGGAAAAAGGGAGTGAATTCCTCAGAAAGATAAATTTAGTTGTGAACAAAGAACATAGTCTTTCTCTTTGAACAAGACCATGCACAGCACCTATCACATGCGCACTCAGGACAAGGTCGAATTTTCGGCCTTCGCATTCAGTGCCTGGGGTCTTGCAGTGCAGATCAGAGAAGCGGGGCAGGACAGCGGAATTTGTGTAGCAGGCCGACATGGTAAGCCGTAGACTTGTGGCTGCTTAAAACTTTAATAATAGCACTGGCTTCCTTTCACGTTCAAAGCAATGCCAGTCCCTGCTGCCAGCAATCCGGCAAGCATGAACTCTGCGCCTGTCCCACCCCCTCGCAGCTGTCCCAGGGAAAGATCCCTGTATGCTGCCCCTCTCCCGCCTCCACCGCGTGGCTGTAAACCGCCGGTTACAGTTCTGTAAAGGAACAGGCAAGCAGTCCCAATACTAACATTCCCCTACCTAATTCAAAGCAGGTCACCATGAGCGACATCACTCTGATGAGGATTTCAGAGACGGAGAAAGAAAGGATGCTTATTGAAAGCATGCAAAGACTAGGGCCGTATGCCGCCATGCTCTGCAAGGCAATGATCCCGGAGTACTTGCTTGTCTCCTGGCCCGGAAACGTTTCGTACCACGGAGGACCCAATAAGGCCACTCTCCCCAGGAACCTGATGCAAAGGCTTTCCAATTACCTCCAGGAGAGCTTCGTGGAGATGTCCCAGGAGGATTTCTGCTCTATCCTCGGACATATAGACCAGATTTTACTGTAGCTGCACTGGCAGGGACTAAACAGTAGAGCGCCTAGGGCAAACCAATCATGCTAAACCGGACATTGTTAGATTTTTTTTCAGTAGTTGCACTGCCAAGGACTGAAACGTTAAGCGCCTAGGGCAAAGTAATCATGAAAAACCCATTGTTAATATTCCTGTTCTGTTAAAAATAAATGTTTACATGTTTAAAACACTTACCGACTGATCCTTCCCCTGATTCTGTGTCCGGGTTAATGCCTGGGGATGGTTGGTAGGGGATCTCTGTAAGGGTGATGAAGAGATCCTGGCTGTCGGGGAAATCAGCGTTGTAAGCGCTGTCGACTGCCTCGTCCTGCTCATCTCCTTCCTCATCTTCCCCGTCCGCTAACATGTCCGAGGAACCGGCCGTCGACAATATCCCATCCTCAGAGTCCACGGTCAGTGGTGGGGTAGTGGTGGCGGCCGCACCTAGGATGGAATGCAGTGCCTCGTAGAAACAGGATGTCTGGGGCTGGGATCTGGAGCGTCCGTTTGCCTCTTTGGTCTTCTGGTAGCCTTGTCTCAGCTCCTTGATTTTCACGCGGCACTGCGTTGCATCCCGGCTGTATGCTCTCTCTGCCATGGCTTTAGAGATCTTCTCGTAGATCTTTTCATTCCATCTTTTCGATCACAGCTCGGAAAGCACGGACTCATCGCCCCACACAGCGATCAGATCCAAGACTTCCCGATCAGTCCATGCTGGGGCCCTCTTTCTATTCTGAGATTGCATGGCCATCTCTGCTGGAGAGCTCTGCATCGTTGCCAGTGCTGCTGAGCTCGCCACGATATCCAAACAGGAAATGAGATTCAAACTGCCCAGACAGGAAAAGGAATTCAAATTTTCCCTGGGCTTTTCCTGTGCGGCTGGTCAGAGCATCCGAGCTCGGACTGCTGTCCAGAGCGTCAACAGAGTGCACTGTGGGATAGCTCCCGGAGCTATTACCATCGATTTCCATCCACACCTAGCCTAATTCGACATGGCCATGTCGAATTTAGCGCTACTCCCTTCGTTGGGGAGGAGTACAGAAGTCGAATTTAAGAGCCCTCTATGTCGAACTAAATAGCTTCGTTGTGTGGACGGGTGCAGAGTTAATTCGATGTAACGCTGCTAAATTCGACATAAACTCCTAGTGTAGACCAGGCCTCAGATTCAGTGTTTGATATGCATTGTAGGGATTCAGGCTTTAGGCTGTCATTGAGACTATCATGGGGTGCAGCCCTCATCGCCAGACTGGCACCTCCTCCTGGTCATGCTGGGGATTAGCCTGACGCTGACTGCCCTATCCACAATCTGCACGCTGGCAATCTGTCTTTGTTCCCACTTACAGCTCCTCTGTCAGCTCCCAGAACTGCAGCATCCTCTTTGCGACTCAGCCCTCTGGCTAGGTCGCCATCCGTGTTTCCCGCTTCTGGGTGGGGATTATTTTCTGTACAACCGTCCACCCATTTCCCTAGTGGTTGGGACCTGGACCCACCCACTTCTCCGGGCCTCAGCCCAGGGACCCTGTAACTAGCAGCCTCCGGCTATTCCTCTGTAACCTCCGTCAATGCTGTTATATTTTCCTGGGCCTCTTCCCCATGGCCCCAGCATCCTCTTCGCCCTCACCTCAGGGCACTCAGCTGCTCAGCAGCCAGCAGCCAGCTAGGAGCTCCCACTTGCTTCCCTGGTCCCTGCTGCTCTGTCCAAGGTGTTTAGTTCTCTCAGCCCTCCAGGGACACAGTCCTTACTCCCTGGGCTCCCAGCAACAACTGCTCACTGCTTTGCCCTGCAGGTCCCTTTTATCTGAGCATGCCGGGCCCTGATTGGTTGCTCCCTGAAACTCCACCCTGGTTTGCTGTGCTTTCCGCACCCCCTTTGGGCTGCTTGGAGTACTCACCTCCATTGCTACTTCTGGGGCAAGGCATAGTTAACCCCTTTTATGCCTATGTGGGGGACGTACCCCATCACAGGGACTGTGCAACTATTTCAGAAACATACTAAAAAAAATTTAGTTCCTCAATATGGAGCAGCACTGCAAAATCTCGATTAATGTCCATTTCTGAAGCCACCAAAACAATCACCGAACCTGCACTTAAACACTGCAGCCAAACAAAATGTGGGTGTTTGGCTGCAGTGTTTAAGTGCAGGTTCGGTGATTGTTTTTAGCAGTTTGGCATATTTTTCAGGTCTTTACACAGTTTACTTGTTCAGTACAAAAGAAGAAAAGAGCAATCATTAATGGAATACTGTACTAGTTGTCTCAGATAGTCAGCACTGTGACACTGAAGCATACTCACTGCTTCTAGATGTTACATGGGCAACATGGGTTTTGGACCTGAAGTCAAATGGAGTTCAGTGGTTGCTATAAATACACCGCTAGAATTTTACATTGTTCTACTCCAGAAACCGGAGGTTAAAAAAATAGCACTCGGAGACTACATAGCTGCAACATAGTTTACAAAACATGATTCAATGCTTTGCCTAGTGACGGAGGTACATTTTCCAGTTTGTTTATAATGAGAAATCCCTTTGTATTAGTTTCAGGCTTGCAAGCACATGAGAGAGGTGCCTCATTGTGTCTGATCCAATGCACATTGAAGTCAATGAGATGCTTTGCTTGCAATGGCATGTGATTCATTTTAACTATGGGCCAAATTGTGGCTTGAGCTCACAAGGTAGCATAGAATCATACAAGGAGCTCCCTTACATTCCTACCAGTTATTTGCACTGGAGCCACTACATCCTCTCCTGTCTAGGAGGAGAGGAGGAGCAGAGAGCTGGTTCCACACCGTCCCCATGGTGCCCAGTGAGGTAGTTACATCAGCACATCATGTGATGTATGTTGGATCAGGTATAGACCCTGGAGCACTGGGGAGCTCAGAAGGAAGATTGTGACTCTGGAGCCATAATCTCACTCCTGGGCTGTTCCAGAGGCAGCACAATAGTGCACTGCCCCTTACTCTGGGCAGATCACAAACATCTATTAAACACAAAGAAAGTAATGGAACTTTCAAACAACAAAAAACAACACTGAGAATGCTGCATGAATATTGGGTATGGTTCTGTATTTGTGATGGAATATTGTTCTGGTTTCAGAGTTTTTTAAAAGTTCTACTGGTTTTGTTTCTCTCTCTTTCTCCTTTGTATTTCTTATAGTTTATTATGCTGACATACATCTTCATGCTGGCCTGGCTAGGGGTCACAGCTTTCACCTCTCTGCCTGTTTACATGTACTTCAATCTGTGGACCATTTGCCGAAATACCACCTTAGTGGAAGGGGCTAATCTCTGCTTGGACCTTCGTCAGTTTGGTAGGTGAATGATGTATGGTAAATATGAATTGAGACTTCAAACCCATTTAACAAAGAAATGTTAGAAATATTTCTTGGGAATGTTGTTTGCAAACCCTAGATGCTTCCAAAATTATGCCTAATACCTTACAAGTAGGTGCAGAATATGTATTTAAATTGGTAAACAAACCAACAAAAAAGTAATTCTATATTCTATCATTTCAATGATGTGCAGGTTTAAGGCACCTCAGTTAAATTCATAGATGTCACTAAAATTGGAGTTATTGCAAACACTACTGAAAATAGAGAAAACATGCAAAAAGGCTGAGAGAAATTAGAAATATGAACAGGAAATAAGAATATGACTGAGAGTCAACTAGGAAAAATGCAAATTGCTACATACAGGGGAAACAATCTGAAACCCAGATATACAGTAGGAGCGTGGGGGTACTGGAAAGCAGTAAAAAAGACTTACTGGTGTAGGGGCAGCAGTAGACAGAAAATTAGCAATGAGCTTGCAGTGCAATACAGCATAAAAACGTAGCATTGATCTGTATATACAGTGTTACCACATATTAGTTGTAAACTGCTACCATCCTGGTGATAGGTTTCAGAGTAGCAGCCGTGTTAGTCTGTATCCTGGTGATAATGGCTGTAGTGAGTCTGCAGCTGGAAAACTGCTTCCGATTCTGGTCAGCTTAGAAAGATGGCAACAAAGTGGAGGGTATTCACAGATATGATAAAGGAGATGAGGGACATAAGTCGTAAGGAGGAGTTAAGACTGAAATAAGGAGGAAGGCAGTGCTGAAGCGGGGAATGAGAAACATCTCAAAATGTTAGAGGAGGGACCAGGCATAGGTTTAAACTGAGTACATTCTTGTGTCATTTCCCTGTCATGTCTCAGTATCCACTCTCTGACTGGGAGGAGGCAGGGGCATGGCTCCTGTGCCTTGCAAAGAGAATGTCTGTACTCTGCCTGCCTTAGTCTTTGCTTAGTCAATTCTAAGCCTCTTCCTGTAGCTCTTTTGTCTATCTGATAGCTTAGCAATAGAGGAAGAAAGAGTGCCTCAGTATCATCCAGGCAACAGGTCTCTGTCCTCATCTGGAAGAAGTGGATTTGATGGATTGTTTTTTTCCATTTCTGACTGCTATGATTCAATAACAGCTAGTCTTCTTACTTTGCTCCCCAGAAGATAAGTGATCTGAGAGACATTTAAAGGTCAATGCTTATCTCTGGAAATGCTGTATGGGGCTTTTGTTTTGTTAACGTTTGCATCTGTATTTTATTTATATAATCCTTACAGTTTCCATCTGGTTTGCAAGTCCTGCAAAAAACCCACTGATCCCCTACAGGGAAGGCACAGTAACACAGTAGTTTTCAACAGGCTAATCTGTGATTTAGTATCTTGTCACATGCTAAAGGGAACGGTACAGCAGCTTCTTGTTTCCCTTACTGTAAGCATCTGCATTCATTATCAACAGATGATTAAGCACACCTCTGGGTAACATACTTTTATAGCCTCTAACAGATGCTTTGCACCAGACAAGCAAATTTGGATCCTGACCCTAGCACATTCTTCAGCATAAGGACAGAGAATGTTTTTGAATGTGCCAACAGGCTTAATATGTGCACTGTCTGAAAGTTATTTTCTAATATTTGAATACCCTGTTGGCTGGAATTAATAAAATCCAAAATGAAAATATAAAAAATGGGTTGAGGAATCATTCTGTGTGTTGCTTCCGTTCATACTGTTACCAAAAGGGTAACATGTCAGCTTCATGACAACGAGAGAGACCAATTGAAGACCTAAGAGGTTGTTTTCCTGTTATGTAAAATATGAGCCACAGTTGCTTTGTTCTACCTAACATCCAAGAATTTGGATTCCTCAGCTCCTTTGAACAAATCTACTGAATGCTTTGAATACTAAATCTAGTGAATATTTCATGTGTTTCAGGAATTGTAACTATTGGAGAGGAAAAGAAGATTTGCACCATGTCTGAAAATTTCCTGAGGATGTGTGAATCTACTGATGTGAGTAAATGGGCTAAGTTTTATTTGCCAAATCCATAACAGTCATTTTAGTAAGAAGTAACTGGCATATATGGTTTCCTCTGACACTTAACTCTTTAATCATAGACAAAGTGATAGAATGAAGGCACAAGGAAAAAATATAGTGCTTTTCTTTTTCCCTAGAAAACATACTCCATCAACATAGTTTCTTCAGCTATTATTTTTGTAATTACATTCCATTAAACCTGCAACTTTTAATTTGAGATTTTACTGAAGGTTAATGTGTCTGCTACATGGTGAGAAGAAATTATGAAAAATACTATTGTCCTTATGTTTAGAAAAAAAGAGAGTACAAGGAATTGGAAGAAATTATGGTTATATTGTAACAGAGCAGTAATATTTTTAAACTCACTGGACCATTTTTTCCCACTGGTGTAGGAGTCTAACTCCCATGACTTTGATGAATCCACACTTTGTTGTATTTCTTCCATAAAGAAACACCATATATTTTAATTCAGATTATTATTTTTCTTATTTTAGATCAAAGAAAACAACATAAACAAACAAAAGTAACATCTCCAAAAATGAACACACTTGTTAAAATCCTGGCCCTTCTGAAATCAATGGGAGTTTTGCCGTTGGCTTTCATGGGCCAGGATTTCACCCCAGTGCATGTAAATCTCCTTGGTTACAGACTGCAGCAACTTTGAAAACAAAATGGATGGAGTTTCTGCACTCACACAGTACTCTGAAAATAAAAGCACTGTAGTTTCATATCAACCATGCCAGCAGTGAATTTGGTCAAAAATATTACTGAATCGTTAACTTCTGCAGAACAATGGCAGCAGGAAAGTAGTCGTTTGCTCTGTTAGATGCTGGCTTTTTGTTTGGTTTCCATGTAGAGTTATTACTATGAAATTTGTTTTCTTTGTCCTCTTTACAGCTAAACATGACATTCCATTTGTTCATTGTGGCACTTGCTGGAGCTGGAGCAGCAGTCATTGCTATGGTAAGCTATTGGATACACTGCCCCTGAACATACAGCCACATCTAAATCACTGACATATCCTGTTTATAAATTACTGTCAGCAGTAGAATTAGTAGCTGAAAAATATATTCAATTACTACTAGAAAAAATAAGGCATATGAATTTAAAGGGATACCGTTAACTATTTTTTTTAATTACTAATTTAAAATGCTATTTTATGTTAGCGCCTCCTTTAAACAGCATATTCTGATTTTTTAATATTAAAATTCCTTTAAGTATCTGTTCCTCTGCTGTGTTTAGAAGGGTCTTTGGGGCAAACCGCAGAGCAATCCCACCAAACTTTTTCTTCCTCATGCCCTCCTCTGTGTGCGCATGCCTGCCTACTGTCTCTTCATTTTCATTTTCAGCTATGCTGCTGCTGTTAAAATGACAAACATCCTTTTGCAGAGATTGAGGAAGAGCTTGAGCTCTTAGATTTTATCCAGGAGGAAATTTTGCCATTTTTGCCAATGAACATTGTTTATTGCTATGAATGTGGTAGAATTTTCCCAAAATATAACACTAAATTGTCCAAAATTATCTTGACAGTGTGTTATTTTTGTCATGAAGTATATGTGTGTGTGCTATATCCCTTTCCCCACATCTGTTGTGACTATTTAAATTGTAAAGTCTTTGGAATGGGGACTGTTTGCTACTCTGTGTCTGTACAGTGCTAAGCACCATTTGTGGCTGGCCCCTACATACCATTGCAATAAATATGATTTATAATTAGGTTTGGGAGAATTCCATTTTTATTATTTTAGAATTTTGACTGATAATATTGATGTTTATTTTTAAGCATTTTTTAAAAATATTTATTCATTTAAATGTTCACAGTTGCAGGAAGTATGGGGGAGCAAATAATGTGGTTAGGCCAGACAAAAATTATTTAATGACAGTAGACACTGAGATTCAAAAAGTTAAAGCTTTATAACAGTTAAAACACAAACTGTCAACATCATATGTCAAAATATACACGTAAAGTAAATTGCCTTAAATCAAACTCTAAAGTAAAATAAGAGAAATGCTGCTTGAAAATTTATTAATCTGTAAATTTTCATTATTATCGATGGAAATATTTTTTGTCAATTTGTGACTGAGATCAACATTTACTGATAAAAATCTAATCCTTCCAAGCCTATTAATAATAATGCTTTTTTGGGGATTATTTTTTCACCTATGAAAACTGTTTCATTTACACCAAACCAGCCAGAAAACTACTGTTCATCCTTACAAATTGAAGATGTAGTTTTTACTATCTTCTACATCTTTATACTGGGCAAAGAGAGAGAGGAGGGAATGGTCAAGTGGTCTGAACTAGTAGCCCTGTTGCACAAATCAACTTCTGTGCCTCAGTTTCCACATCTACAATACAGCTACCTCTGCTACTGTGACAGAGTAGCAAGAAAATTAATGTCTAAAAATTATATTTAATTGCTTCAAGATGAAAAGTACTGTGTAAGTAGAATGATCAGTACTTTATAATAATAAATGGAAATATACCTATCTCATAGAACTGGAAGGGACCCTGAAAGGTCATCAAGTCCAGCCCCCTGCTTTCACTAGCAGGACCAAGTACTGATTTTACCCCAGATCCCTAAGTGGCCCCCTCAAGGGTTGAACTCACAACCGTGGGTTTAGCAGGCCAATGCTCAAACCACTGAGCTATCCGTCCCCCATTAAGTGATTAACTCTCAGCTCTTCCAAAAGCAGACTATTCTGCATCAAGAAGAAATACTAATGCCATACCATTTTAAAGAGAAAATTATATTTCCACTGCATGGCTGATCTAAGCTATATTCTCTAGTGATGGGAAATTCGTGAAAGGATCATTGGTTCAGATAAGTATTTAAAAGTTCAGCTAACAATAAACACTTAGCACTTGCGTATCATTTAATATTTTCCACACCTGGGAAGTAGTAGGCTTCCGAGGCTGCACAGTGATTTTGTGGCAGAGGAGGTTTTGAGGTTTAGGAGCTTTTGGCTCTCAGCCTTTATACTCAGTTCCTTAGAGGCAATGCTGCTTTATCCAAACCACCAATTTTGCCCTATTGGTGATCCTCATTCAGACTTCCCTGCTTGCATAAAACAAGCTTCAAATCTCCACACGTTCTGTGGTGGCAGGAGCCAGAGTGGGGGCTATTTTACCTTCCGCCCCATAGCACATATCTTTATGTAAAAAGGGAGATTTCCCATAGGCATGCAATATAGACTGAGGAATAAATAGAAATGAGGCGCAGAGCGACTCCAAACATAGGAATGACTGAGCATCAGTGGGGTCTTATAGAGAGACTGCTAGGCCCCCCACAGCAGAATAGTCTCAATGGGAGTAGGGGATGTATCTGACCTGGAAATAAGGTTCAGGTTATGTTTGGGCAGCAGATGCCTTCTCAGTCCTTCTCTTGCCCAAACCAATTTAACCATCTCTGATAATAGCCCCTCTATGCTGATATGTCAATCACATAGAACACATACCACTTCTGAATTAGTTATTCCCGTCACATAACTTTCAAGTATGACTGCTTCTAATGTTTCTTTAAAGACAGCTTTTCTGAGTGAGACAGTTTAGGCAGGTTGCAGTTTTGGTAATTCCCTAAATTATAACCACAGCTTGAGCACAGTCCACTTACAATGCCACACTGAGACAGCATGCACAGCAGATTGCACAGATTTTATAAGGGAGTGTGTCTCCCATTTTTTCTTGTGTAGTTTGCTCATCAGAAAAATAATTAGCTACACTTACACTAATAATCCCATAGTTAGGCTTCAGAGTAAACATCTAATTGAAATGTATTAGGAAAGCTCACAATTTTCTTAGAATTATTCTCAGGCTGTTGACAGATTCAAGACAATATAATTACATCAGTTTATACTTTGCTCACACTTTGAAGGTTTTCTTCAGAGACATAAAGGATTTAAATAGGGTTGCTTTTTTTAACATGAAAGATTAGATGCTGGATCCCAAGGCAGGAAAAAGTAGCAGCTCACTGAACTGCTGCAGACAAACCCTATTTGAACCCAAAGTGACAGCAGGTATTTCCGGAAAGATTTGAGGCAGCTTGGGGAAAAAAGAATTAACTAAGTGCTCTTCCCTCGCCACTTTGCCAAAGAAGTATTATTTTATCTATGGCCAATAATTTCAAGTTAAATGTGTGGACAGAGCACTCTAATTAACTGGAGAAAGCCTTAATATATTCATCAGAGAAGATCATGCATTTTCTGATATTTCCCTCTGCTTCATGAACTGAAGAGAATAGCTTTCTAAGTAGCTATTTAAAGCAAGTGAACGCATTGTTTGCTTTTGTGCTAGAATTTTTAATTTTGCTAAAGTGACTATAGTAAGCAAAGAGGGAAATAATTTTTAAGAGGTAGGCAATATGGCGAAGGTGAGGGAAAGGGAGCATTTCTGATGACAAATTATTTTAAGAGAAGTTAAGAGTATTTAAACTGTTTAGATATTTCTGCAAAGACTGATAGAGGTTTCCAGGTATCAGTAAAAGAGAAGGCTAAATTATCAGTAACTTAAGTGGGTCCTCTAGAGAGGGGGGTAGAGGGTGTCGGGAGCCCCTCCCCAGCAATGCAATGGGCAGAAAAGAGCGATAATAGGTTGCCAGTACTCCAGATGTGATCAGGGAAGGTGACCAGTATGGACCACAGTTCTTCACAGCCCATTGGGGTGTGTTGTGGTAGTGTGGGTGCTTGGTTTATTCCATACCCTATGTACACTGGCATGTGTAGCTACTGCGACTTCTAAGCACCCATATAGCTCAACAATATTGGGACATTATCATGGCTTTTTCACTCCAGGACCTCTCCTCAGCAGATTGTTCCTCTGCCACTCCTAGCATTGCTTGGCTAAGAGAGACCATTTGTGTTTAGTCTTGTCTACCATTCCATGTTCATGCTCACTTTGTATTCATTGAGCTAATTTGGTTTTGTTTTTTTAATTACTCAGTAAATTGTACCATGAACCATTATTTCCATAGAAATCAGTGCATGCAATCATGGCAGTTATAGAGAGATGTATTCGTTGCATCATATTAGTTACAGATAATGCCCTTTTGGACCACTATTGCATGCAACTGTTCCGATAGAAAATTATTAAGATTACCAAAAGCTAAGCACACGGTAAAATTCTGGCTGCAGATAGGCACATACAGCTTCAATGGGAACTGCATGCATGTATCCGAGGACCGAATTTGGTTTATAAACAGAAGGTAGTACAGCAGCCTTGAAGTGACACCAAGTGACACATTTTGCTCTGAGATACACTCATGCCACTACATTGTTACGTGTTTTGTTCATGAAGCATAGCTTTCCATTGCTTGGTTGCTCCTGGGTGTAAATGAGGGAATGTGGTCTTTTTCTTTGTCCTTCAGGCAGGTGGTGATAACATGCTAGTGTGCACTAGAATTTAAACCATGCTGGTGTGGACTAAAGCACTTTGTAGACAAATTCTTAATCTTCCTTGTGGAAAAGTAGAAAAAGAGGTCAGCCAGGAACAAGAAACGTCACCCTGGATGCAGCCCTATTATCCAGCCCTCAGCTGTGGACCCTGGATGCACACTGAAAGGTGGCTGTGGTGAGGAAATCCTTGCAGTCTCACGGAATAAAGCTCTCAGTTCCTAGTCCTTATTGATCATGCAGTATTGGACTTCAAACCTGTCACTTAGTCCAGGACTGAGTATTGGCTTTCCTGATCTTAAGTCCCATGTATTTTGGGGATAAACTATTATTCTAAATATGTGCTAGCAAAGCCAAAAAAACAGACCTGTTGGTCCTAATTCTGCCTTCAAGTGCTTGCATTGACTACACTGGAGCTCTGTTGCATGTGTCCAAAAGGCAATGTTTGGCCCTCAGGAGCAGTGACTGCAGATTTTGAAGTATTGGAAAATTAAACTAATTTATGTTTTTTTCCAAAAAACGGATGGCAAATTGTGTCTTGGATGCTGTTTTCTGGGGAAATACGAATTTTAGGGAGT